AATCACACGACTCCTGCAGCGACTTTTGCTTGAAACTACTGGCTGCTGGCTGTCCGGGTACCTTGATGAGAGCCTTACAAGGGATGCATTCCACCAGCACAGCAGGCGTGGCAGACGCGCCTCCTTGGCCAGATCTGTTGGGCCAGTTCGTATTGGTGCTCGCGGCTAACTGTAAGACGATCAGCTTCATCTTCTTCAGAGCCCTCGTGGCTCGAGGCTCGAGTGGCTGACGTATCCCAGTTTCTGCTTCTGCCTGTCTCAGGGTATCGCAAGAGTGGAATAATCTGACTCGTATGAGTAGCCTCAATCTATGTACACCATGCCTCTCCGCACTGTACGATCACGAGGGCATGCCGCGCTCCCAGTGTCGGATATCAATGCCACGACATGGGAAGCAACGTTGACTGCTTGCCTGCATCCATCACTGCCACTTGGCGAGGATGAGGATGATGGCTGGCGACGTCTCTGGTTGTGCCTGGCTTCACTTGTGTTTTAGCCTCATTTGCCACATGGTTTCGCTTGTCTTGCCCCGTCTGGTTGCGTCTCGTATCACAGTCCTAAGCCCGCTCTATGCCTCGTCCTTTTCTGTGTGTTGTGTGAATTGTACGAATGGTTGTGTCTCTGTCTCTCTGTCTGTCTGTCTGCTTGTTGGTTTCCTGCACTAATGATGCATTCTCACTGGCAACACTGCAACGCTGCAACACTGCAACACTGCAACAGTGCAGCGGCAACAGCAATGGCAATAGCAACAAACGGCTTTCAGTGCGACTCTCGTGTTTTGTTGCGCCCCAGTTCACTTGAGTAAAATGCAATCTCCTCTCTCGACCAGCTTCCAGTGTCAGTTCCCTCTGCTGCTCCCTGCTCCCAGCTCCCTGCTCCCAGCACTCGTGGGAGCAGCCAACCAACCAACCCAACCGACAACCTTTATGCCATATGCATTTCATTCTCCCTGTGCCACTTCCTCTGCTGGCTCTCGCTCTCGCTCTCACTCCCTCTGGAACTAAATATGGCGCAAATTACCAAACTGTTCTCCTATTTTTTGTTGCCATTTAGAATACCCTAACCCAGGGGCATGAGAACTTTAAAGGGAGAGCAGCAGATCTTACAACAGATGTGCCTCAAAAGGTGAACTCTCAAAGCGAGTTCCCCTAATCTATTTCGTGGAATCAGTTAATGTTTTATATACTTAAATATGCAAACGAATGAGGAACTTTTCCATGTGCAAAATATGACAAGCTTTAATTCAGAGGGCGAATGAAATGACACACATTTCTGCCACTTTTATGGCGGAATCCGCAGCATTGAAGAGGAGATCACCAAGACCATATATTTCACTGCCATTTATTATGCTCTAAAGTGGCTAAGAAAGTTTTTAAAGTGGCAGCTGGGAATCGTATTTATTAATATTATTATTATATTATTTTTCATAGTCACACTTTAATATCCAGAGTGTGGAAAGGGGATCAAACCTACAGCGGCAGGGTAGCCGTATACTTCGATATGAAGTCTCTCACTCTCCCCCCTCTCTCTCTCTCTCTCTGTCTCTGTCTCTGTCGGACATGAATTGAAATTCGCTTTGGAGTTTCGTTTTTTTTTTTTCGGCTGCTGGCAGTAGATTTAAGCAAGAAAAATTGAGCAGCCAGCGATGTTGATGTTGATGCTAGCTGATGGAATCAGATTGCGAATCCTTTGGCGCAGCAGCGTCCGGTTAATTGAGCTCCCTGCGCCATGGAGCCTGCACCGTACACTTCTCAATTTATCTGCCAGTATTTGGTGCTGGTGTGGGGCAGCTTCTGGGGCTGGGATAAACACGTTGCGCAAAGAAATCGTTGCATAAATTAAGCCTTAATATCCTGACCCCATCGATGCCTGAGCAAACTGCGATAACGGGGACCGCTCAGCACAATGGAGTCGAAGCGGCTTCTGTTTCTCCCTTGCAACGATTACTCGCAGCTGTCAGCAGATTGCAATTTCAAGTACCTGAATGGAGACCCCCCCTGGATGCCGCCACCCCCCTGGACACATCACATCAGCAGTTCGCACGCCGCAATCCAATCTGAGTCCAGGTCCAAGTCCAACTCCAGATCGAGAATCGTTCAATTTTTCAGCGCCGACAAATGAATTTTTAAGGCCTTCTCCAAAAGGGTCTGGCCCGTGGCCAGTGACCACCAGTGACCAGTGACCAGTGACCAGTGGCCAGTGCCAAATTCCAAGATTTACGAGCATCTCCGAGGGGTTTTTCTCGACTCTTTTCTTTGGGCCAAAAATCAGACAACCTTGGCAAATTGACTTTTGCTTTTGGCCTGGATTTCCACTGCGTAAACTTGGCCCAAGTCACGAGTTCGCTGCCACCCACTGCGGATAATGCAGGCAACACACACAGACACACCTGCTGGATAATGGATAATGGAGAAGGGATAATGGATAATGGAGAAGGGACCTCCCCTCAGTGGCTAATCAATAAGCAATGCAACTATTTTGTTGGGAAGGGCCAAGATGTTGCCCCGTGTACGGCTGCCAGGGCTGCCCGGGCTGCCAGGGCTGCCTGGCGATGGGGGAAGGGGAGGGCAATAAATTAACTTAACTTTACTTTCGAGCAGACACCAAAGTGGGTGGCCCGTCAAATTAGGTTAAGCTGACACAAAAGCAAACAAAAACAACAAAAAAAAACAAACAGAAAGAAACATGGAAAAACGATAAAGAGATACACAAAAAAAAAACAAAAACAAAACCAAAACCAAACTAAATTAAAATATTTTGCATGAGCTGCCAAGGGCCCCCAGGGATGGGGGTGGGAGGGTTAGCATGGCAGCCAGCGAATAAAAAGAAGTGGACAAAAAATAACACGAAAGTAAAAAAATGAAACACAAAATGACGCAAAGAATTTATCAAACATCCGCTTCCGGCGAAATGGCGTTGACAACATGGAAGAGGAAGCGGCTGGAACGGAACGGAATGGGATGGGATGGAGCGGAACGAGAGCATGGAATGGAATGGAGTGGAGTGGGAGGTGTCGCTGCCAATTTACAGCAGCCGCCGGGCATAAAAACGACAGCGTTGGAATGTAGGGAACAAAGAGGAATACAGAAAAATGGGGCAGACGAGAAGAGGGGAAGAGGAAAAGCGGGACAGTGCGACACAAATAGAAAGAGAAATAGCCCAGCCTCGTGCCAGGCAGAGTCATGAATGCAGACAAAGCAAATTGTTTATTGTTTCATAATTGAAGCCAAGAGGCTGCCTGACCTCATGCGCCCCACCATCCTCCATCCTCTCTGCCACTGCATGGCCACAGGGACACGAAAACGTTATTGTTTCGCATGGGGGCGCACACGGCTCAGACTGAAGCGTAATTAGAAATAACTTTAAAAGACTGCTGAAGGCAGCCCAAATAGAGTAAAATCCGTGCTCATATTTTATCAGACTTGCGCGAATATTTCGTTTCACATTTTGCAAGTACTCGTGGCATAATCGGCTTTAAGCAAAGCCCCCTCCCTCCTGTACTCAATTTCACTGGTTAAACGCGGCTCTCCCTTACCTGTACCGAACACCACACCCCTCCAGCCCTGCCCCCCTTGCAGCTTCCTCGACAAACTTTGTTAATTGCCTTAATGCAAATAAATTCCGCTTGGAAGGAGGCCCGGGGGAAAAAAAAACATGCACAACAAAAGCATTTTATCAGAGCCATTTAAAATGATTTCCAAGAATGCCCCGGGCCCTCCGCCAGCCCATGCCACGGCCACGTGGGGGACCCATCTGGCAAGGGTCTCATCTCTGGATTGGAAGCCACATCAATTTGGGTCCAAACAGCTGTTCAAATCCAAGGCCAAAGCGAGCAGAAGATAAACAGGCATAGGGCAAGGGAGGAGCGTGAGGGAGAGAGAGAGAGAGAGGGAGAGGGAGAGGAAGAGCTAGAGCGATAGGAGAAACAAAAACTTCATTAAGCTGCGTAACAATAACATTCATTCTCATGCTCATTCACACTCCCCTCTCTCTCTTACACTGAAACACACACACACGGGGGGGGAGGGGGTGTGGCTAAGGAGCGAAAGATTTATATAAGCATTTTACACCTGTGGCATCTCTTTTTAGGCACTCCCCCCACCCACAAACAGCAGCAGCAAACCAGCGCGAAGCCCAGCCAAACAAACATTCAATGGATATGGAAAACTGCTGAGCTGGCATCCATTCACTGCCCCACCCACTACCAGTCCCAGCCCCCTGGTTATGTGAGGTGTGTGTGTGCGTGCAAACAAGCTGAAAATTCATTAAACTCGAGCAATAAATTCTTTTAATTGTTTTCCTTGGCATTCATCCCATCATCCCATGCTACATACACCACTTGACGACGACCTCCACTCCACTCCACTCATTTCGTTTCGTTTATTTTTTATTTTATTATTTTTCTTCCTTTTTTGCATTTACTGTGTAGCTCTTTTCTTTGGCAGCGAAACTCCTCCTGCTGCTGCTGCTGCTCTGGCTGCTGCTCTGACTGCTCGTTTTGCTGCCTTTATGTTGTCCGGATTCCAGGAGTATTTCCATTGGCAACATTTTAATGTTTTACGTGATATGTTTGGCATGTCTTTGACGTGGTCGCAACACGTCCCACACACCCACCAGGCGGCCTCCCTCCCAAACCACTATGGGAGAGTGAGAGAGCGGGAGGAAGACTGAACTGTCATTAATTCTTTTCAATTTACCAAAAATAAGAGGATGAAACAGTTGCCAAAGAAGCAAAATGTAGCAGTAGCAGCAGCAGCAGCAGCCGCTGTAGCATCAGCAACTGTTGTAGCAACTGTACCTGCTAATGAGGCGACAGTACGTACAGTTTCGGCTGCCGACAAAACTTTGACAGTTGCATCATTAATACCTTGAGGGGCTGGGACTGCGACAGCCACTGCCACTGCCACTGTGGCTGTGGCTGGGAGTACAAGCATAATGAATTGACAGCCTTGTCAGGAACCCACAACTAATGGCTCTCCCCTTCTCTCTTCCACTTGCAGGTGTCTACGGCATCGACCTGTTTCATGTTGTAATTCGAGGACTTTCGGTAAGTTTCAATCATCCCAAAAGACAAACAACAGCCTGGGGCCAGCTAGCAAGGAGTACTTCGCCATTGCGAAAGTATCTGGTATCTTTTAGTTGATTTGTTGCATTCTCTGGGCGGCGGGCTTTCCCTGTCTGTCCGTCCGTCCGTCTGTCTGTCTGTCTGTCTGTCTGTCTGTGTGTGGCTACACAAAGTTTGAAGGTAGCTGCAACATCGAACGACGGATAGCACTGATTTTGTACTCCAGCTGCAACGGCAACGGCAACAGCAACAGAAACGGGCAGCGAAAAGTTTCGATACAGTTTTGAGGTCAATTTGCCGGAGAAATGGAGCGGGCACTACGCTCGCAGTTCTCGAGTTAAGTTACACAAATCTCTGCACCTGCCTCCCCCGCTCACTGTCCCACTCCCTCTCTCTTTCTGTGGGTAAAAGATTAGCGGACATTGTTGGGTTACGCTACACGTAAATTGAGAAAAAGTTTTTGTTTTGTGGCTGCCAAACTGAAAATAAATTAAAGTTACCATTCGGGAAATCAGCCGCACTAAAGATGAACACTTTAAGCCATCGAGGGGGGTGGAAATCTCACTCGACCAACGGGGGTTCAAAGTTGAAGCCTTTGAAAGCTTTGCACTTAATTTTACTCAGTTTAAGCAGTCCACAAACCGAGAGGAAACACCGGAAACACTCGGACTTGCCCCATTCATAATTATGTACAACACCTACACCTACACCTACACCTCAACATATAAGAGATTAAAACCCGCTTATAGCTATCATCAAAGAGGGGGCATCAGGCTGATCAGAATTTTCACTAAAAAATAATCACATCATGAAAATGAGACCCACAAATGCAGACAACATTTAATGACCCATTTACACCGGTAGATAAGTAAATAGAAAATCCCAAAAGATACACACACACAGAAATATACATGTGGTATGTGTAATGAATGACGTGGGAAGCCACAGAGATCAGCAGAGTCTGTAAAGTTAACAGAGCCTCGAACAGAACGCATAACAGAACGCATAAAAGAACCCCTAACAGAACGAATAACAGAACGCATAAAAGAACCCATAACAGAACGAATAACAGAACGCATAAAAGAACGATTAACAGATCGGACAACATAACGGATAACAGAACGCATAACAGAACGCATATCAGAACGCATTACAGAAAGAGAGACTAGCAGCGGCCGTCGAACAAAGAGAGGAGCAAACAAAACCTCCAAGATCGATGCAATTTAACTGCCAAATTTCTCTCCCCAAAAACACGCAAAAATACGAGCGCAAGCACACAAAATTGTATGCTCAAATTAAAGCACATACCCATTGTAACCAGAGCAAATGTCAAATAATACTACGAATAAAGAACTCTGAGAAAATTCATTCCGAAGGAACTGAGACCGAACTCAATTGGATTTGCACTCATTTAGCAAAAGTTACTTACGAGTTCGAGTGTCTGCTCAGATTTGCGAAGAGTTGTTCTCTATGTAGAGCAGCAGCATCCTGCCATGTGCTGAGAGTTGGTTCGGGGATGTGTCCGTGTCAGAGGACACAAATTAAAGTGCTCCTTCGGACGCGTGTCACAGGTGCCAGAGGATTGGCCCAGGATGTCTTAATCAGTTGCAACGGACACAAGCAGGCGTGTGCCACAATCCTTGACAATTCTCTATCTCTCTCTCTCTGTCTCTCTCTCTCTTCCTACTCAGAGGCTGAGGGGCATATGTTGGGGCGTCTCTGTACACCTGCAGTGGCCAGGGCTTAAGTCAATGCCAATATATTAAACTTATTGTGCATGGCATGCGACATAGTGGCCCATGGCCAGTGGCCCGTGGCCCGTAGCCCGTCGCCCCACCCCAAAGCTTTGGGGCATTGCCCAGTGGCCATGCTGCACTTCCGGCTGCTGGCTGTCGTCCTTGCGGCAACGTTTGACATTTCGCCAGCGCCGGAGCTACTTCTTCCCCATTGCCCCTGCGAGCATCTCGCTCCACTTGGTTTCTGTGCCAGTCCTTCGCCGTGCACATCCTCTCCGTGCCTGATCCCCCGCCCCTTCTGTGCCAACTATGGCTCTGCTGCTCGTCCTTGTCGCTGTTCATTTCAGGAAATGCATTTCGTCAGCGTTGAATGAAAACGAAATTGCCAATTTCAATGAGGATGAAAAGAGGAAGAAACAGAAGGCAGGTGCCATGTGCCATGTGGCATGTGGCAGGAGCAGCAGCAGAAGCAGGAGCAGCAGAAAACACGCGATAGGTGGAGCTACTCAGCCTCAGGATGCTGCAGGCTCAATCAGACAGTCAATGCGATGCTGCTGCTGCTGCTGTGATTTTCTCGCCTTCTCGACGGTGGAGTCGACTGGCCTGGCCTGGCCTGGCGCACACACGGTTCCCCCCACACAGACAGAAAGCCCAAAATTTGACACACAAAATTCGCATAGAAAATTCGCCAAGGAGTAGAAGGAGTTGCAAGAACAGCGGGAAGTGCGAGTGCGAGTGCGAGCACGATATTCGATGCAGATCAACGATTACGTTGCCAGCGACGTGACCAAATGCAGCGAAGGAAATTCAGGAAAATGCATTACCAAAGCATTATCCATGCAGTTAGCAGTTATGAGGCGCCACTGCGTAAATCAACTCGAACGAACACGCTCAATATCCAAGCAAATGAAAGCCAAACAAGGGGAAGAAACAGTTTACTCTTACTTAAGCAGCCAAAGGCGCGAAAGGCAGTACCAAGGCGACGCTCGCACCTCCGCCACAAGCAGCCCCTCAGCCATTGGCAATCCAAACAAAAGCCGTGGAAAATTATGTCAATGGCAGTGGCAGCTCCTTGCTCTGTTTCCACTCTCCGCCCAACTGGTTGCTCCGTCTGGTTGCTCCTCCATTTCCTTTCTTGGTGCTGCTGCTGCTGCTGATGCCATTATCGCCAGCTTTTGCCACGTTCCAGTCAAGCCAAAGCCCCCACACAGAACCCGTAACCCACCCCTCTCTCTCTCTCTCACTCTCGAACACCTCCTGTTAACCCGTAAGCGGAATGCGTTCGTCGTTGCCGTCGTTGCCGTTGTTGCCTATCAAAACCAAAATTGAATACAAAAATCTCATCAAAAATCGATTAGAGCTGTGTGGTGGCTGCTACAAAGGGGGCAAGGAATGGTAAGGGTGGAGTGAGTGGCGGTGGAGAGAGCGAGGAATGAGGGCTCGAACTATGGAGTTGAGAAGTGACATCGGTAGATGGCAGCCAAGTATTTTATATGGCAGAAGGCCGCCGCACAGCGCAGCACAGCACAGCCACACCCACCGAGAATCGTGTTAATAAACGAGTTTTGCCGCCAGGATTGTGGCACTGCCATCCGTGCCGTACTCGATCCACCTGCTTCACGTGCTCCTGCTCCTGCAACAGCTCCGGATCCGGCTCCATTGCTTGTGCTCCTTGTGTTGGCATCATCGTTCCGGCCAATTCGCGTTGAAAGCAGCAAGTGGATTGAATAAATAACGCCGCCAAATGCAATTTGGGAAATTAAAACCAAAGTAGTGAAAACTTTAGTCAGTCGCCCCCTTCCCCTTACCACACTCTCCAAAATTGAAACGAACTATTTCTGTGGCGCCATCTTTAACCAAAAATCCAATTTCACCACCTCCTCCCCCCTAGCATTGCTAACCCTCTGGGTGGAGGGGCCCATTGTCAGTCGCATTATCAGCGACAGGAATCATTTTTCCTGGTTTTTGGGGTAAACTTTCCACTCCTAACGACACCCAACGATGAAAATGATGATGATTATGATGCAAAGGAGAAGGAGCAGCAAAATCATGCGCCACATCAAATTGCAGAGAGAGAGAGAGGGAGAGAGAGGGGGAGAGAGCCAAGTGTTCATTTGTAAAATTAATAAAAATAGTTTTCCACTCGGTTTGCCCCAACCCCCCCAAACCCCACCCAAAACCCCCTCTGATGGAATTCACTTTCGAAACTGAAAGAAGGAAACTTTGTCTCTCCCCCAATAACCCCCCCCCCCCCCACCATGGGGCCTTAATGAATATGAATGAGAAAGTGTGGCCGAAAACTTCAGCTTCAGCCTTGAACAACATCGATTGCAGTCCGGGGTTTCCCATACATATATACATACATACATACATGCATACATACATACATTCACATATGTACATATGTATGTACTTATGTATATTCCAAATAATTCTTTGAGTTGATTGTAGCCACAGAAACCCTTTTCAATTTCCATTGGCTGCGGTTTATTAGAGCTGGGCACGAGGGGTGGAATTCCCGGAGTTTTGTTTGAGTTGGATTATTCCAAAATTAGTGACAAAATATTGGATAGAAAAGAGAGTCAAAATACAGGAAAATATATACCCTATACACCACCTTATACTCTACCCACCCCGCATAGATTGAGGGTGGCGTAGCCATGCCACATTGGATGTCCTTGGATTAGATGTCATCTTCTGCATGTTATTTGCTGGCCTGTCCACCAGTTTAAATGTGCCATCATGACCCTTCCTTGGGACATGTGTACATGCCACACACAGCGCTGGCCCTGCCCCTGTCCCTGTCCTCCTTCTGCCTCTCCACTGTGTGTGTGTGTGTGCTATATTCAGCATTTACCAATGTACACAAAAGGCGAAAGCAAAATGTGTTTTGTCAGTGACATGGAAATCAACTGAAGCGACGTGCGCGATTTACGGGCCAGGAGTAGAATTCGTAGGGCTGAATTGGTAGGGGGATTGCTGCCCGGGCAGCTGAAGATTGTGGATTGGTTTTGGTATTGGTATTGGAGGGCGGGGGGGATTGGCTGGGTGTCTCGATAAACTGTTTGACGCACACACAAGGACACACAGGGGGACACACTGGGGGACACACTGGGACACAGGGACAGGCACATGTGTCCGCGCCCACTTCCGCATACAAGAGGGCGGCGAGGACAACTCAATTAAGCATGCACAATGCACACGAATTTCGACTTGTTCGCCGCCCAATTCCCCCAGTGGCAGTGG